TTAAACACGTTCTCTTGTGATACCTGCGAAAGTATTCAGTATAATTTCCGGTAAGATTTCGCGGACAATCTGATCGATTTCTCTTACATTGTGTGTTGAGACTGAAACTTTTCACCTCGCGCAAAGCTTCGTCGCACGGCCGAGACAAACATAGCGAGCAGCAGAGCTTGTTGTATATGTGCGTGTTAAAACACACGAAAGGACTCCAAACGACACTTCCCTCTGATTGGGCAGAAAAACACAGAGATTTTCTGGCACCAATCAGATGCCAGAACGACTGCGACCGTTTGGAACTAGTCTTGTAAGACAATGTCCCCAGGGGCTCTTCTGCCCTCAACTTGAAATCGACACACTGCCCCTGGGTCTCCTAGGATGATTAATATTGTGCAACGTGTAAATTATGCTATCCTTTGTTGTTTCCTTTTCTTTCTGTTAGTCTGTAAATCTGTAACTTAAAGGTGTTTCCTAAAGGAAGATCTGGACAGAACTGAAAATTAGAATATGAAAGAAAACGTTATATATTGTGTACGAAAAATTCTACCAGTACTCTGGTGTGAATTCGAAGTCCAGGCCAGGTCACACCCTATCGATAACCCGGCAGTTTGCAGGTAAAATCAAAGTGACCTTGATGGACTGGTGGACATACTATACGGAATATATTTAAATTATACACATAGTGTACGATCCGTAGCGTATGATCCTTTGAATTAAACAAACCGAATTGAGCCTCTGGTTTCTAAAGACGGTTTCGGTAGCCATTCGGTTAGTATTCAAAACGATGATATTGAAATGTTTGTACTTCCATTACTGTAGTTTTATTTATTTTGATATATTTTCTAAACTATTCTTACTTAGAGTACATTGTAATAGTACCTAGCTAAGAAAAGAAGGATGATTGGTAATATGGTAATGGTACTGTGTGGAGTCCAATTCGTTCTGTAATCATACGGGTGATAACGCGCGAGTCCGATTTGTTTATCACGAGTATGGTTACAGATCGAATTAGACGACACGAACTCTTATTACCACTTGATAATAAAATTTACAATTTCCAAGAAAAGAAGAATAGCCAAGTTATGAAAGATAGCGAACTGAATGCGTTGCACTGTTTTTTAGTATGTAATTTCAGACCGGTTTTCGAGAAGGTCAAATTTGTTGTACTTTCAAGTCTGAAGCCTTTCAAAGATTTGGATGGCCACTTTGATCCTTCTTCAACAGCTTTAACCAGGCGCTCTCGAACGCCCTTCAACGTTACACTCGATTTATGCAATTTAAGTGACAGTGTTTGAGTCTGGTTATGAAACTGACCTGACAAGTGCATGATGGCGTGCGGACGTGTATCTGAAGGCTCCACGAATTCCGCCGAATTTTTTGCCACTGAACCTTCTTCATCTCCCTTAAACCAATATCTACATTGGGACGACAAACAAAGTCTATTCAAGTGGAAAGGGAGCCTAACACAACTTCAGGGATTTTGTTCGAAAGTCCTGAATTTGGAAGTTTCTGCAACCGCGAGTCCCTCTGAAAGGTCTAGTTCTTTGAAGTCGAAGACAATCACGCTGGTTTTATTTAACAGTACCGGTACCCTTCAAGTCCAAGGTCCGGATACAAAAGCAATGAAAGCCAAACTGAAGAAGCTACTCCAGTTACCGGTTGATGACGACTCAGTTATTCTCGTGAATGAAGAAGCTTCTACTCCGGCGTTTAACAAGAATGCCAAATCAGTACAAGAGGAGTTGGACTGTCTGAAATCTGAAGTGCTGAACTTATGGGCTCATATAAAAGAGAAACCTAATGAGGAAGACCTGAGATCCGAAAATTCTCGACTTAGGGAGATAATTCTATCTTTGAAGGAAGAAAATAAAAAGTTAGTCCAAGAACGCGATTCTTTAAGTTTTGCATTGCAAATCGTATCCAGAGAAGCAGCTACTCAATGCCGTTCAATGAGTAACACCTCTAACGAACATACCATTGTCCAAAATATGGATGAGTCAACACCTTGCGCCAACAAAGAACAAGGCTTCATTGTGAAATCAAAGAACAAAAGAAAGAAATCGAAAGGTAAAGGAGGTCCTAATAACACCCTGACAGGAAAAGAATCCGAACCCGAAAAACAACCAAAAGAGCGCACAACCCTGCTCATAGGAGATTCGATGATCTCAAGAATACCTGGAAAAGATCTGGGAAAAGCAGTTGGCCACAGGGTTATAGTCAAGCCTTTCTCGGGCGCTACGACAATGGCCATGAATCACTATCTCAAGCCAAATCTGGAATCTTCGCCCAATGAAGTGATTTTACACATTGGGACTAATGATCTTAAAACCAGGGAACCAAAGGCTGTTGCGGAATCGATTGTGGATCTCGCGAGACAGATCGAGGGCACCTGCGATACTACAGTTACGCTGTCGGAGCTTGTATGCAGAAAAGATAAGCTGGACCAGGCAGTGAAAACAGCCAACAAGCATCTAAAGAAGTTCTGCCATCAAAATGGATGGAAATTAATCCATCATGAGAACATATCTCATAGTGGACTCAACAAAGGTGGACTGCACTTAAATTTTAAAGGTAATGAGCAGTTTTATAATAATTTTAAATCGCACCTAGAATGAGATAATGTGCTGTCCGTCAATGCCGTGCGGGATCAATTAAACAACCAAAAGGCCGAAAAATCTGTCTCAATATTGCCTCCTTTGCGCGGTTTTAGAATGGCATCACTCAATATTAATCAATTAATTACTCATATAGACGAATTAAGAATCATATTAGCAAACAATGATATCGATATTGTTTCCATAAATGAAACGAAACTGAACGAGAGTATTCGNATGAGCTGAAAAGCCCACTTAGGGAGCATCAATAAGTGTATGTATGTATGTAAGTCTTTTCTCGAAGCAAGTAAATAACTTTTAGAAGGCTAGATAAGGCAATATAAAGAACTTGTTGCGAGCCGCCGCCATTTTGGTTCTGAGAGCTTTAGTCACGTAGTGATGTTACACTTCATTGCCTTTTACGCTCAATAGACACTTAAGAACAAGCCAAATATTCCCATTTCTTTCGCGTGAAATAATTAAGCGGCAAGCAAGTCTTTATTTTTGCCACTATATAATAAAATATATTGCGTTACAACTTCATTCATTCATTCTCTGTGTATTTATCGTTAAATTCATGAGGTTGAATTCGTAAACGAAGATTGGTGAGCCAAAAGCGCAACGGCTTGCACTGATAATTTCTTTATATAGCCTATGATAATATAATAGTTATTTATTTGTTTCGCGGAAAGACTTAACAATTAAACGTACAGACTTGGATGAAAATACTTTTGGACGTGAAGACTTGGACGTAAAGACTTTTGGACGAAAAGACTCCTGGACGAAAAGACTTGGACGAAAAGACTCTTGGACGAAAAGACTGGACACCTCCCCAGCAACCATAAATTTCACACAATTTTCCTGGGAATGGGAGTTTCAGGTCTTTGTTTAGAATTGACAGGTAGAATTGTTAAAAAATCATGTTGGTTTTCTACTGTCGAACCTGTATGAAGAGGGTCCCTTATGCCTGTTGCGTGAGGTATGATTGGGCTATATTTTTCTCGTGAGTCGTGATTATACATTGTTTTAATTCGTGAAACGTGATCGAAGATAACCACATATTTTCATGCTTGCGTGAATGTTTTTTTATATATATATATATTTAAATGTTACATGAGAAGTAAAGCCTAGTTCGCATATGATGGCAAATGATTGCAGGTGATCGCAGGCGATCATCAGGGCGCAAAATTAACTTTTTTTTCTGTTAGCCACTTGGCTCCTAAATATTTTAAAGTGGTAGCCAATTCCAAAAAGTTGGTGGCCATTATGACACGCACACGCACAAAAATGCTGTCAAATGCGATAAAAAATGAGCCCACTAAATTCACACGAGCTACAAAGAGGACACTAGAATGGACCATATACAACCAGAAAGGTTACCTAAATCCAAGATGGCATCTAGTGACGATAGATTTACGTTCAACCCATCGTGCATGAACTGCATTTTGGAATTAAAATGAGCTTGACGAGGAACTTTGCTGCAGATTTATCTTTACAAATCTTCAACAATCACTAGATCTCTAGGTAAGGTGTGATTAGAAATTCATAGTCTCCAATTTGGTGAGTAATTTTCCAGATTTGGTCGCCAAAGTGAAAAATTTAGTTGCATTGGCGCCTGTATTAGGCGCAATTTTATGCCCTGATCATCTGCGGTTGTATGTGAACAGCTCTGCGATCGCGATCGCAGGGGATCACAGGAATAGAACCAT